GTTCACTCTCAGCTCTAACACCCAGTGGCTAGGACAGTGTCCATGGGCTCAGGAGTTCCCAAGTCTCTACAGACTTTGAACCAACCATCCCTTCCTTTTCTCTCTCTCATCATAAGGTTGAAAGAAGTCTATGGACCTTGGTCAAGCTCAGCCCACGTCATTACTGCTTTTCCCCCACTTGCATTCACAAGTAGCTCAATTAGCTCACCAGTGAGCTTAAAAGCCTGCTCATATGTTCCCTTTGATTTTTAGTCTTGTAAGGGGTCTATCCTGAAGGGACTTATGGCTTGCCTTGATGCTCTCAGGAAGAAAACTTGCTTGTTTTTATAATAGTCAAACAGCCTGCTTTTTTTTTTTTCTTTTTCTCTGCTGGACTTTTTTTTACAAGTATCTTCTATTCCTCTAGCTGCTCTGGGTTGGTCTGTACATCCTTTCTAGTGGCAATGTCCCACCTTAGCAGGTTATGTATATAGTTCAGGATTCCATCTAATGTCCTACACTCTATCAATGCTCCAAAAGAAGACTATTTCACTAGGCAAGGTCTATAACCCCTTTTAGGTTTTCTAGTTACTTGTAAGTTGACGATGGGCTTACAAGCTTTCTATAATCATATTTCCTCATATTCCATTCTATCCCACTCAAGTGTCTATTTTACATTAGTAGGCAAGGAAACCAATATCCATAACACAATCAATCACCTTAACATTATTTCTCCTATTTCACCTATTCAGATTATGCTTTGGTTCCTGTATCACACAGAGCCCTGTTGTTTAAACATTGAGCACACATCTCTATTTATCTCTGTCCCATTTAGGCTATGCAAACTTTCTTACATAGTCTCCTAACTTCCCTGTTCTGCCATCTCCCTCCCCCTTCTTGTGTATTGCTCTTCCTTTCCTCACCCAAGTTATGATGTTGCTATCTCCAACCTGTGCCTTACTGTTCCTTCCCAGAAACCCATGGTAATCGATAGAGCTTCCCCCACTTAGTATGGACATATTTACTTAAACTTTTATAATAATGGTCTTATGAAATATTTGTCCTTTTGCGACCATTCAAATATCTTAATGTTATTTCTTCTTCTTTACCCCTTTAGCCTGTGTCTTGATCCCTATATTATAGAGTTTTGTTGTTCTAATGCTGTGGTCCACCTATATTCTATTCAGCCTATGGACACCTCTCAGAGTCTTTCCTCATCCTCCCCACTCCCTTGTTCTCCTCCTACCTCCTTATGTACTGCCCCCCCCCCCCTATTTACTGGCCTCCCTGTCCTCTGAGTCAACATATGTCCATCAACTGACCTGCGAGTTACCATTCCATTCCTCCCACCACTGGTAACCCTCAGAGAATTGTTATTTTAGTATGGAAAAATTTTCTTAAGTTTTTACAATATTGGACTTATGTAATATCTGTCCTTTTGTGCCTGACTAATTTCACTCAGCATCATGTCCTCAAGGGTCATCCATAATTTGCCACTTCATCATTATTCTTTAAGGTAACATAGTATTCCATTGTGTGTATGTACCAGAATTTGTTTATTCATTTTTCTGTTG